AAGGTCCCTTATGAAGAAAGATGATGGTTATAGACTTACTCTCCTTTATAGAAGAAGTAGAGATGGTAATACAGTTGCAAAATTTAGAGAGTTATGTAGTGAGAAAGGACCCACAATTTCTGTTGGGAAAGTTTTGGGTACTGGTGAAATACTTGGTGGATACAATCCAACTGCATGGAGATCTGATCAACAGAATATAAATGTTGACACTAAAGAAAGTTTTATCTTTGCATTAGATAAAAACTTGGAAAAAAGTATAGTAAGTTTTATTAATAATGAGACAAGTTCAAAAGCAATTGTTGATTATCACCAATATTACCCTATATTTGGGAATGGTCTATATTTTGGTAATGGATCTCAGATGCCATTTGCTACAAAGAGCTCATATCAAGTTCCAATAAGGAGTTCATCAGATAGTTTTGAATGGGCTGATTGGGAAGTGTTCTCAGTTTCAAAATTTTGATTTAATGCAGAATGTTTATATTAAAGGCTTTTATGGTTAAAGCAAGAATAATTTATAAAATTTATGTCAGACTTACTTGGGTATATTAAGATGCATTTATATTTAGTTACATGGTTGCTAATACTAATAAGTGTTCACTAGGGTGCCGGTGTTCATAATGTCTATTGATTTATCACTTATGCATACACTGTATAATCTGATGAACTTCTTTATGTACTCTATGACTCCATATAATGGAACGGGTTAAGTGTAAACTCGATTTTACCAACTCAATAGTACATATTATTAAGATAAATAATCAATATACCGTAGTTATCATTTTCTCATCCTCCCTGTTACTGGTAGTCATTCACACTTCTTTGTTGTCTTATTCTGTCTGGTGAATGAGAAATCTAAGTAGTTAACTATTACTATTGAGATTTAACCCTTTACCCAAGTTAATTTTCTTATTCTCCTTCTGATGACAGGTTTAAAGCCTTATTATTATACGTACTAATTTCGTATTATCAGACGTCAAACAACCTTGCATTGCATCAATTGGCAAATAGTTGGTAAGACAAACGTTCCAGCCAACAACAACTGCATATAGTGTAACGCGTTGAGTCTGCCATTGCGCGGGAGAGCAATCGATTAATAACAATAGAAATTTAGCTATTTTTCGAACAAAAACTGTAAGTTTAACATAATGACGGTTACTGACCTGTAAACTAGGCTTACTGCTTACAACGTATTGCTAATTGGTAGACATACAATTCTAACGATTATTCAATCCCGATGGAATCCCTAGACGTTGGTATACTTGCGTTAGCTCAAAAATATGTCACATCTTAAACCAATGACAACTGTGATATCACGGAGCGAAAAACAAGTATATAGGAATTTGCGATTTGCAAGTACTGTATAAGCATATCGAGTAATTTACCCAGAGAGCAATCGAAAAATTGAATACATTGAGATGTAAAACCAAGATTTTGAGGTGTAGATATAAATAGAAACGAAGTTGAAAATTTACGTTTGGCTTTTTTGCTTATTATTTATCTATTTTCAGCAAACGCATGTTGCTGACATCACAATTTGTGTATAGGTAGCTGTGCAATATTGCTGCTGACTAGAATGTTCTTGTGGCACTTTCAGAGTTACGGCAAAAATTAGGGACCGCTAACAATCACTTTCCCAACAGATCGTTTCTCTGATAATTATTTCCTGACAATATTTTAAAATTATTTTGTCGATGGTCGATATAGGTAAAAATAGATGTGAGCAAGCAAATTAGACGTTCTGGCAATTCTGACTGGTTGATGTTTGGAAAATAACAGTCGTAAATAAATAAACTGTAAGAAAATTAAACTATACCCAAAATTAGAGCTAACAATAATATGTTTTATTAAGGGTCTAATTTGATTAGCTTGATGCGTAAAAATACTGACCCAATTATGTATATGGTATGTTGTCAATTCAATATTATAAGAATCAACAGGGTTGGCCAGCATGATTTAAGATATAAGGAGATTTTACTTTATCGAAATATGTGGTATACCACGAGCATGTTGTCAATGTGCGTTCACTAATACCAATTTGCCTTTTTAGTTAACAGATAAAATAGGACTAATTAAAACTTCTCCGGTTAAGTTAATGGTTTGATATAAGCGTGTTGAACGTTTCGAAGACCCCCTTTTTGTAGCACCGTTAAAGTCTTTCTCGAAATCGATCATAATTAGGTTTTTTTTACGTATAAATAAATTGAATAGACTCAGTGAGTTTATTGCCAATATAAAGTAAAGTCTTTTCTTTTTTTGATTGAGTGTTACATTATGTTTTGAAATTTATTACATTTTACCGAAATGCAGTTATAATAACAGCCGCTTTCCCAACTCTTAATTTTTTTTTCTACATTTTTTGAAAAAACATTGGCATAATAATAACCAGTTTATAAACACAAATCAAACTAAAATTTACTACTAAATTATACTGATAATAATTATAAGCGGTATTCCAATTTGTTAACAACCTAAACTTAAAGTTGCATTCTTTTGTAAACATATTAGCATTAGGGAATTTTGGGTCGTCCTATATTATTTTAAAACGGTTTAAAGTTTTTTTTGGCGCATTTAATACCTAACTTTTCGCAAACTAGGAAAATATCCAACCAAATATGTAATTATAATGTCATGCACGCATAAAATAAATATTCTCACTGTTAAGGAAAACTATTTGTGTGCCCTTCAGTAATGTTAAATACAAAAATGCCAAGTATCGATCTCTCGCCACTTCGTCATTTTTTTCATAATGACAATTCTACTGGAACAGACAGGTACTTTTCCAGTTAATTAATTCTATTTTTAAAAATCTACTTATTTGCTAAATAAACCAGCGACCATTATTTTCGAAATTTAAAAAAATCAACTAAACATCTTATCACAGAAAAAAAACCGAAATTTTCACAAATGTATGAAGAAAACTTGTTAATTATACTATGTGACATATAAGGTAAAAGGGGGTAATTTGGCGAATAGGGGTAATTTGGCGAATTACAGAATTATTATAATGGAATCGATTAGGATCAAAACCAAGAAGATTTATAGTCATCACAATCATACTTTATTAAAGTGAAGGCATTTTTTAATCATGTTACATGTATGATTGCATGTACATTACGTGCATTATGTGTTTTTATTCGTTTAATTTACGACATTTTTACTATATCTACATACATTGTACAAACGCTAGCTCGATTTGGTATGTTCTCCGCGCGACAAAATAGACGCGAAATAAATTTACCATGGTGCTGCATTGCTTGTCACGCATTTGTTTTATTTTGTGATTTTACATTAAAACATAATAACTTGTCACTATCATGGAAGCTGCTTATATTAAGCGACATGAGATTATCCGTGCTGCACTTGAAAAATTGGAAAATTATCCTGCTGGCACCAAACGCCCAAGTTTAAATAGCATAGCGCAAGATTTTGGGCTTGCAGAATCTACTCTCCGACTTGCTTTTAAAAGTGGTGGCCATCTAAATCGTCCAGGTGCACCAAACGTTCTTAGTAAACATGAAGAAAGTCAACTCGCTGGCTATTGCATTAATATGCAAAAACTCGGGTTTGGTTTAACAAGATCTGGTGTTAATCATTGCGTAATGGAAATTATGCGACTAAATAAACGACCACATCCTTTTGGAGAAAATGGACCAGGTCAGGACTGGTGGGCACGATTCATGAGGGACCATCCTGAGTTATCCTTTCGTATCACTCAGGAATTATCAGAAGCACGTGCACAGAAGGCAAATGCAACAGTTGTTAAGGATCGCTTTGAAAAACTTCACCAAATTATTCATGAATTCTCTTTAACTGCAGCACAGATCTGGAATATGGATGAAACCGGATTTGTCATAATACCTAAATTAGAAAAAGTCGTCGCTCGAAAAGGTGCACGTCAAGTACATAAGATCGCACATGGAAATTCACATGAGCATATTTCAGTAGTCCCAACAATCTCAGCCGCTGGGTCTTATATTCCACCTCTGATTATTTATAAAGGGGTTCGCACAATTCCCGGTCTATTAGAAAGTGCACCTCCAGGAACGGTAATGGGTTTTACAAATACGGGTTACATGCGCGAAGAATTATTCCGAATGTATCTTCGCCACTTCATTAATTCGATCCCACCAAGTCGTCCAGTTTTATTAATGCTTGATGGTCATAAAAGTCACATTAGCTATACAATTGTTGACTATTGCCGTAACAACGGCATCCTTCTCTATGCACTTCCACCACACACGACCCATGTTTTGCAACCATCTGAAATTCTATTTGCGAAGTTGAAAAAAGAATATGGTAAAGCATGTGAAAAATATAGTAATGATAATAATGGTATGATAGTAACAAAACGTACCTTTGCCAAAGTCTTTGGTCCTGCTTTTATTAAAACATACACACCCCTAGCAATTTGCAACGCTTACAAAGCCACAGGAATATGGCCATTAAATCCTAATGCTATTAGTCCTGAACGTTTAGACCCTTCGTTAATGACTGAACAAATTAATACTTTATCATCATCCATTCAGCCATCCAAATTGTCACCTTCAACATCCCAATTACTAACAGATTTGAATCATACTCATATTGATTCCCATTCTACTCGGTTAAATAAACTAAGGGATGAAAATAGAAAGCTTAAGAATGAGAATGATTCATTAAAGTCACAGATTATAGCAGTAAAGGAGGAGCTGGATACTTACAAAAGTCCGGGTACGTGTACCCTACGATCAGCCCTTAAGTATCCTGTGAGTCGTAGTTCACACACTAGAAATTTAGTGAGTTCTGAAAACAACACCGATTCAGAACCACTTCCACCGCCAAAAAGAAGAAAGACACTTCCATTTGCTCGGCTTCTTACAAACGAAGAGAGTTGGCAGCAATTAAAAGAGTTGAACGAAGAAGCGGAGCGAAAAAGTGAAGAAATAAAACAAAAAAAAGAAGTAGCAGCTCAAAAAAAGGTTATACGAGAACAAAGATTAGCAGAAAGGAATAAAAATCAGGGCGGGAGGGGTAAAGGATGCTAAAATAATATGTAAAAAA